GTTGTGGTGTGGTGGTGGTGGTGGGTGTGTGTGTGTGTGGTGTGTGTGTGTGGTGTGGTGTGTGTGTGTGTGTGTGTGGTGTGTGTGTGTGTGTTTGTGTGTGTGTGTGTGTGTGTGTGGGGTGTGTGTGTGTGTGTGTGTGTGTCTGTGTGTCTCGGGTGAAGGGGTCGGTCTTCGTGCGTGACCTTGCCATCACGTCAAATTGACATGCGTGACATGCAGCTCAACTTGGTTGCACGTGGCCTGCACCGGCGTCATCGACGCGCTTGCTGTCAACGGCACAGTGTGCCTCGAAGACTTTTTCTCACTCCAGGACGAGCTGGGTACAACCGACGTTAGGCATGAAAACCGTACACCAGCAATACCAATCACAGTGCCTCTTGCATCACATCGACCTCCGCGATCCAACTGCTGAAGGGCAAAGTCTAAGAGTCTAAGGCTAGACCGTTAAATCTCGCCTACTTACTTCCTCAATACTTCCAAAATGGCCGGCGAATGTGCCACTTTCAGCTCGCTCAACCTTGACCTCCAGCACCCCCCGGGCCCCCTAAAACGCAGATGCAATACTCACGGGCGGATGCCATCTGGATGGCGTCCATGGAGCTGCGGCCAGACGGGTGCCCCATCTGGCCGGGACCTGCAGATAACTCTGCATGGCGTGCAAAGAATGCAGGCGCCGGTTCAACCTATGGGTCTTTAGTACGGTCCCCTACCCTTGCTGACAAGGATCCGAAATGTGGGCCCTCTTTACATATGGTGTATATAAGCGTTATATAACAAGGGACTCAAATTAAGGGCCCATACTTGGAACCGTTGAGTGTCGGGGTTCCAGGACGACTAAGTCGGGGCAAGCCATATAGGCTCTCACTGAGGGCCACAGCCAAAGTTAATTTCTGCTGTACATCTCCTCCACATACCCGCACTCGGCACTCACATCGAGGTACTCCAGAGACTATGTAAAACATCCCAATGCCAATCAACACTTCCTTCACATATCGCCACACGCATATCCATGATCTATTCATGCGAAAGCTTCCCTGAAGGATTTGGGGGGTTTACGAAATAAGGGACCCTAATATAGTCCCCAAATAGTAAAAAAGGACCCCAACAAGGTACCCCGAATTTCGGAAACTCCCATTTCTGAACGTGACAGCCTGCGCTCGGACGGTTAGGCGACACAGCTCGTGTTGGTGGTGCCGAGGCGGTATGGTGCTGGCGCTGCATGCCCACGGACCTGTTCGCAAAGGCAGCTTCTTGATACGGGGGTTTAGGAAAATCGGGGACCCCGAACATAGACCCCAAATAGTAGGATTCCCTGTTTCAAGGACCCCAATAAGGCACCCCTAATATTGTAATCCCCATACTTATTGCAAAAGCCGATCCCTACATGGAGGTTAGAGGGCCAGCGACTCGCTTCCGTTCCTGAGGCTACAGAGAGGTTAGCACATGCTGCCGTGTGGACGAGGAGAAGAAGGAAGGCACCGATCACCTAATAAGGCGCGTAATTCGGACGTGCATTTGCACAAATTCAGCAACAAGCACACGCACAACGCAACCAACGCACACACACACACACACACGTGATCACACGAGTATAGGTATGTATAATATATATATGTATACCTACACACTTACACACAACCCAAACATGTCTGTCGAAGCGCAACAGAAAACTCAAACCCATCCCACCGCCCTGAGACAACAAGCTGAGTGCCTTTCTCCTCGAAACTGGGAGCGAAGCTGCCGGTCCAGAATCTTCGTTTGATTTATGAGATCACCCCCCCCCCCCCCCCCCCCCCGCCATCGCACTTGCGCAATCTGCCTATTGGCTCTTAAATCTGTCCCGCACTCCGACCCGGAAGTTTCGCCCCCTCCCATGCCGTCAGACGATGTCAATGGGGAAAGGAAGCCAGCAGTTACGATGGTGGCCCCTGAAGGGTGTCATGCTTGCACCACGTATGAAGCAGAAGACCGCTCTCGAGGTGAACATTGCGAAAGGTTTCGATGTACACAACCCCGAGCAAGGTCAATCCAGAGAAGGCGAAAGGAGGTCTGAGGCGAAAGCTTTGCAAATCACACCCAAAGAAGTTTAGGGACAGTCTTCGTGACTGATACTGTAGGGAGGCTGGGTGTGGAGGTTCCTCTTGACAATGGGCCTCAACAGTACCTTCGGCACCTAACGTGATTTCAATAAATTCGTGCGAGCTGGCACGGCTCGCAAGTTCGCCGAGTTCTTTGGCGCGCCTGCGCAACACACGCAACGCATGCGACATGACGGCGCCCACACACACACACACACACACACACACACACACACACACACACCCCTGAGCCATAAACAACATCGTGAGTATCAGTGGGGTAAGTCAACTAGGCTGAGTTGTTCCAGCATCTTCATCAACGTCTGCATGCCTCGGTTGCTAGATTAGTCCAGGCTTCCCTCTCTGGTACCCAGCTTCGTTGGACAGGGTTAGTACCAGAGAGCCGTGTCGCACTGCATCTCTTCACACACACACACACATAAAACTCCAATGACACATGAGCACACATGTCTTACGCAGTTTGGATAGGTAAGCCAGACCAGCACAGGGTTTCCCCGAAAATTCCCATATGCCTTGCGCCACCTGGTACCATAGCGCGCTGGTAGGGGCAGGATGCTTGGACAACCACAGGCCTCGGTGACACATCGCAGCTGGATGTTTAGGGTTTGGGGTTTAGGGTTTAGGGTTTAGGGTTCATAGCAGTGTCCAAACCCAAGATGTGGCCACCATGTGTCGAGGGGGGAGGGGCTGTTTTGAAGCTGTTAAAGTGTTGGGCTTTGGCCAGAGTTGCGGCTGGGGCACTTCCCTGCCATCGCAGGCCGGGCCGGCGTGCCAGCCATGGGGTTCATGGCGCCAAGGTTTCTAACACCGGCTGACTGAAGTGTGCAGCACGCGCCTCCTATCTTGGCGCCCCACATGGCACTGCAGCGTTGGGGCTTTCACGACTTGAGTAGAGGTCTACCAACCGAAGCCTCCTATTGCGGAGCCTACCATGGCCGCTCTGGGGCTGAAGTGCAATAACTGCTCGTGGCCGAGTGCAAGAGCTTGCATGCACGGCAACGTCAACATTGTGGTGCCATGCAGAGGGATTTGGATGGCAGGGTTTCCAGAGAGCCCAATACCCCTTAACTAAGGAATATTATGTATACCCAGACTTATATCGGGATCCTTCCGATTCAAGGTATGTTCCGGGGTAGTGGGCTCAGCTGCAACAGACCCTGTCTGCCTTTCTCAGGCTAGTGGCTAGTGGCTGGTATCTGGCGATGGGCGCATAAAGGCCTAACTGATTCAGGTTAGCAGCTCCCAACCCTCCAAGCCCAAAGAGCCCAATACCCCTTAATTAAGGAATATTCCTTAAACCATACTAAGGATCCCTCTAAAATTTAAGGTATATTCCTTAATTAAGGAGTATTGGGCTCTCTGGGAGATGCACAGCTGCATCTACATCCGCTAGCTGCCCGGACAGGCTTTTGGTTCATGCGAGTGTGAGAGGCGAGCGGCACCGCTGCCGCGCCGAAACGAGCAGCAGCGAGCTACCATTCCAGAGGGTGCTGTGGAGACCGGCTACAGAGCTGCATCCGAAAACGACTGCTGAACCGACACTCTGGCCCCACTTAGCTAGGCATTCCAAGCAGCACCTGCTCTCTGCTGCGAGGGCAAACAGCTGCAAGCGCTGTGCAGAATACGTTCATTTCCACAGCATTGGGCGGAAAGAATTGCGCAACTGGGTCTGGGGGGGGCGGTGGGCCCAAATGTACAGAGAACGAGAAGAGGCCGTGTTTTATCAAAGTGTTGGGGCACGGGGCGGCCTAAGTGGAAATGCCCCTGAGCGGCCTGAATGTGATAACCTCCTGAGGCACAGTCTTCGTGCTGCCCTCACACTAGCGGAGATCAGATGCAAAAGACAACAAAGAAAGCATGACCTGGGATGTTCCCCCTTGTACTAACAGTCCTCAATGGGGATTATGGTGCCCTGACCTTATAGGGTTCTTAAGGGAGGAGGTTCAAGGAGTGTACGTAACCCAAGGTTCCCTCATACTCCCTACTACTCCCTGGGGCCAACCCTATAATCTTCTCGGGCAAGTTTCTGGTTCATGATCTCATCATGCACATATTGATGCCACATCTGGCGCGACAGAATACAACGGCCATCCTGCTCAGCAAGACCTCTTCTCATCACCAAGGAATTCATGCATCGAAGCAATGCATGATGGCAACCTACAGTGGAATCCAACGGCACAACTGCAAGAAATCTTCTAAACCCGTCAGAGATCAGGATGCTGGGAAGGCTTGACCTCTATGTTCCAAACACGGGAGACCCAGCCGAAGGGCCGCAAAACATCCCCGTTCCCCCCACCCCGCCGACCCCGCCCCATGCAACCAAAATGCGTCGTCTCCGCAAAAAACATCGCCCCCAATCCTCTCGGAGCCTCATGCTGAGAAGCTCGGATGCCTTGATTGGGAGACAGAAGTGGCCAAAGGCCCTTCAAACCCCTCCCGGGTCAGGCGTTGAGAGCAGCAGCTTCGTCGAGTAGGGATGAGCAGGGTTTAGGGAGTTTAGGAAGTTCAGGGTTTCGGGTTTAGGGTTCAAGGATGCTTAAGGCTTAAGGTTTAGGCAGCACTCCATCGAATTTCCAGGACTTTGATCTGCCTGTGGTTGCGATTCTGAGGTCTGCATACCCTAAACCCTCAACCCTAAACCCCCACTCCTCCTCCACCCCCACGACCTGGAGTTGCGTTGCTTTGCTCGTTAGAAGTCTTCGCGCTCAATCCCCAAAAACCCGGCAACCTCAGGGCAACCACCTTTCATTGCCATGTCACGTCATAGAGGGCATAGAGAGGGTTTTGGAAGTCTGCGCAGCTGTGGCTTTTTCCCGAAGTGGCAGCACATGTCCTCGGACGAGCATCTAGGAACGAGGAGTTTGTGTGAGACGCCCTTGCTTCGCAGAGTCGAATCTTGCCTGGGTCCAAACCCAACTCAGGGCCTGACGGGCCCCCACGTGCTTATTCCGTGCTTAGGGTTTAGGGTTTAGGGTTTAGGGTTTAGGGTTTAGGGTTTAGGGTTCATGTCTCGGAAGATCCCATTCAAAGCCAAGAGGCCGCTTCGAGGTGAACGGGCAACTGCCAGAGCCCCAGCCGTAGCTGGCCGACCGAGTGGTGGCACCTTCGGGTCCGTGGCCGGTTTAGGGTTTAGGGTTTAGGGTTTAGGGTTTAGGGTTTAGGGTTTAGGGTTTAGGGTTTAGGGTTTAGGGTTTAGGGTTTAGGGTTTAGGGTGCGCGCGCCGGGCATACCATCACTGCAGCCATGCCTGCAAACACCATGCGCCTATCGGAATCCCGTTCACCGTGTCAGCCCAAGGACAGTCTCATATTTTCTGGTTTTACGGCACCGGCGAGAACTTGGCATTGGTTGCATGCGGGCGCCTGCTGGAGATTCATGCCAGCGTACGGAGAAGAAACCGGATCCTGAGCACACGACGGTACTGTCACGAAGGCTTCGACTCTCACACTCGTGCAGGGCAGATGTGCGCGTTGAGTTATTGCGTATCAAAGTTGCACCCCGCATTCTGCTTCTCCATTCCTGCCATGGCTCCGTGCCGCCCGAGACAGCAGGGCTGCCCTGCTTCACACCAGCAGGGCTGCCATGCACCATGCCTGCATGCTCCTGGCGTTGCTACTTGGTGTCCTGCTGTTGCTCTGCTCAGAACTGTTAATTGAAATGCTGGCCAACCGCCTTCAGAAAGTGGCTTCCGCATTGCCTGGATGTCAAACTGTTATCAACCAAAACCTCGCGCTTGCGCGCTTGCGTGCTTAGCTTGCTTAGCTTGCGTGCGCGCGCGTGTCGGCTATGCGATTCAATCCTTTGGCAAACGCCCCGTCGTGGAGGGCTTCGTGCGACCCATGTCTTGGACACGCCGCTTGTTAGCTGCAGTATGTTACACTTGTATTTGCGGCGTTCGCTGAGAAGGAGCCAGAGGAATCACATACAGCAACACTAGGAACATCCTTGTCCAACCTAAACCCTAAACCCTAAACCCTAAACCCTACCCATACTTGTATAGAAATACAAAACAAACAAGCGCTCAGTACCGTCCTTTCTGAAACCCTAAACCCTAAACCCTGAACCCTGAAAACCCTAAGCCCCAAACCCACTAGGTCCTCGGTGAGATCGCGAAGGGCCTCCATACACCGTTGGTCGCCCTGCTCGCGCGCCACGCACTCCGCCTTGAGGGCATTCTGGAGCTCCTCCACCTCGTTTGGGTAGTTCTTTAGACTTCGCTAACCCTAAACCCTAAACCCTAAAGGCCCTAAACCCTAAACCCTATAAACCTTAAACCCAAGAGACTTCTTTCAGCTTCCAGTCTTCGGGCTCGATGATGGGGCCATGCCATGCGACATATGCACGCGCCACAGCAGTGCATCTCCAAGAAGTTACACGATTACTAACCATCCCAGAGAGCCCAATCCCCCTTAATTAAGGAATCTACCTTAAATCATCAAGGGATCCTTAATATGATTTAAGGAATATTCCTTATTTAAGTGGTATTGGGCTCTTTGGGATATTATTACCCTACATGTACGGCTCCGTGGGAACCCAAAGAAAATGAAACCCTGACTTTCGGAAGCCCCCGGGATCTCCCGTTTGAGCTAAGGCTGCCGCGCCGAGAACGGACGTGCCGACCACCTGCAGCAAGGCTCGCGGCTAGGATTGAACCATCGTTTCTCGCGCTTAGCACTTGCGCTGCACTGATCGTGTAAAGATTTCTGCAAACACTCTCTGCAACAGCCGGCTCCGCGTTCAACGGTCAGGGTTGAGAGTCTTAAGCTTTTCAGCACACCCGCCTGCTCTCGCAAGCGATCGAGGCTGGAGCGAACACCTGGTCAAGCCATTCAACCCTAAACCCTAAACCCTAACCCTAAACACTAGGCATCTCCACGTTCCGAAAAGCTTTGGGAAGACAACTTTGGACTGTGCACCGCCCCAAACATCTGCGGCCGGCCTTGGACGTCTTCTTTCCGTGTGGCAGACTCCACCCGCAGTTCTCCTCTTAGTTGATCCTCAGTGCACGGGACGTGATGTGGGGGGTTATGAACATAAGGGACCCCTAGTATAGTCCACGAGTAGTAGGACTCCCTTATAATAAGCACCCGAACAAGGCACCCCTTTAACTTCGGAAACCCCCATGTAGCGGGAGGCTTGTGAACCACACTACGCAGCTCCTCCTATCCCTGCCGAGAAGCCAGATCTTTCCAAAGCTCTTCCCGCGCCTTTACCTGCCGCATGGCAGCATTTGTTGGTGGATGGTTCTAACCCTAAACCCTAAACCCTAAACCCCATAACCCAGCATCTGGGGTGGCGAACAGAACATGGTTCTGCCACCTCGGGCCTGCGCAACCGCACCAAATTCACACGCACGTCGCAACATATACAGAGTCTTGCAAAACTATTATCACCCCCTCCTTGTCTTGCTTACAGTACCTGGCTTGATCAAACGAAATGATGTACGTGCAGCACTTACTTCTCAAATTATCTGAAATGCCTGGCTTGCCCTGCTTTCTCAGCTTTGTTGCGTCACTGACGACGTTATTTGCATACATAATGTTCATTCTTCTTGTGTGTGGGTTCGCACTTCTACCGCGATTTGTGCGCCGCCTGTCCTAGAGCATCTGGAAGACGCATGTACAACGGCTCGGCAAGGAGAGGTGTGGCCAAAGGGTCGGAACAAGGTTCCGGAAGCAGCTTTACTTTTGTGCGTGACGAGCCTTCTTTCTTAGCAACTTGTCCACTTACCTTCTTCATGTGCCTTGCTGGCATGTCTTGCGTGCTACAAGGGGCTAGGATAACTCACATCTTTGCGTGTGAAGTCACATCTCCCCAGTGTCACGCGGCTGCGAGCGAGTCACATAACCCTGCGTAAAGTCGCATCACAGAGACATGTGTTGAAGCCTTTCCCCCAATGTGCACGACACACACGCAAAATATGCACTTGTCACCGCACGCCTGGGAGGGGAGCACATGTTTGTCAGCGTGAATGAGATTTTTGCTTGGGGTGCAAGTGGGTTCTGACCAATCTTGGAATTCGCGAATCCCCAGTGTGCACGCGCCCGAGATACGACTTTACTCAAGAGGATGCGACTTAACCTACCCGCTTGTACTCGTAACCTTGCGATCCCGCTTACCATAATATCTTGCCGCATCCCTCGCTGAACTTGAAGCGTGCCTAACTTTAGCTACTAAACTAATTCCAACCTTCTTCGGTAGAGTGGCGTGCTCTTTCTGTCCCATACTTGGTTCGGTCTACTCCATCGCCAGCTTGGTCAGCTCCCCACCGTACTTTGTGACAACGCTGACAGTAGCGACACTGCCACTAGGAAGCAAGACTTGACTTGAGCCTTCCCTATTCGACCTAGCTCAAGCCACTGACATGCCTCAAGGCCAGCATCGCCACGGGCAGGGCCCTTGGATATCCCAAACCTTCCCTGTGAAGTCATGTAAAGTACTGACGATGGATGGAGCCTTGCCTGATTCAAGCACAGGCTGACTGTGGCGATTTCAAGTTGCCATCTTTCTACAAAGGGTTACGAAGGCACAGACCAAAAGCTGCACAGAAAGAATTGGCTGCGCATCCTCCCTTTTGGCATCTAGACTATCTACCCCCTCCATGAAGTCGAGGAGCCATGGCATTCAGGCGCACGAGTGCTTCCTCCAACCGCTCGCGCCCAGTTCGCGCCACTTCCTGGCTTCACACTGGGATGAGGACTCTGGGTCCGCCACCAAGCACTCCTGATTCTGCTACCCATGAACACCATGGCAATATATTAGGGGGGTACAGGGGATCTGATATTTGGGGGGAGGTGCTACCCTAAAGGGGGCTAGGACTGGGATGGGGCTGGCCTTTTGCCTTAACCTGGCCCCCCTCTCCTCTAGCCCCTGGCGCCTGCCCCCTGGCTCCCCACCCCTGGTCTGGCCCTGCCTTAAAACGCTTAAACCTTGTCCCTGGCGGAAAGTGGCCATTGGTGACGGAAAGGTTTTTTTTGAAAGTAAGCGATTGTCATGTGTTTAGGCCTAAACCCTAAAAGGAATAGGTTTGGGTGGTTTTGCCGCCTCGGCCGGCGTGGGGTGGGAGAAAAGTATTAGATGGCCCTCCACAATCGGGCCAGAGCTGCTCTTCGCACCTGACGAGGCATTCGAGCCTCTGCTGCATCCTGACCTTCACAGCATCTACGCCCTATTGCAGCAAACCCTAAACCCTAAACCCTAAACCCTAAACCCTCAGGGCCTGAAGCTCCTCGCGCAGCTCCAGCACGTCCTGCCGGGTCGTCATCATCTCCTCTCGACCGACATCACGCCCCAAAATCGCCATGATGCGTTCTCATGCTGGATGAAAGATTATCTCTTGATTAGATTATATGTTTTTTGTACTGCAAATATATATATATATATATATATTATTTATTTTTTATTTACATATTTATTTATTGGTTTATTTACTTACTTATATTGTTTTATTTTATCTTGTATTACCTTATATTGAATTTCATCTTTATAATCTTGAATACATTATATACATCTGTATGTACCAGGGAGCATTTTATAAGGTGAAACTTTATATTGTACCATATACTATGTATTATATAATATATGTTCTGCATGTGTATATATATAAAATCTCATAGAATATTATACTTTATTTTATTCTATTCTATTCTATCATATAATATGATATGATATGATATTATATTATATATTTTGTAGATTTAGATTCTCTCACACACCAACAAGATGGACGGCTCTGGTGTTTGCCTGCCATGTTGCAGGATATCCAGGATAGCTGAAAGCATGAGACCAAGTTGCAAGAGAATGGGTGCCCGCGGCTTGGGGGGTGGGGTGTGCGCAATGCATCCTTCGTGTTCTTCTCCGCAAACGCTGCCGCTGTGGATTCCTGGGCACGACTTCGTGTGCGACATCTACCGGATCAGACGATGAACCGAGTCCTGAACCCAAAACATGCATACAAAACCCTGCAGTTGGCTGCGTAGCACCGCAAAGAAGCACGACCTACAGTATCACCCAGCCTCTAGGCGCCAAAAGGCTCCCCGCCCAGAACGAAATAAGCTTTAAATTCGACAATGACATTCGTGGATGAACTGGCTGCTGCCCTGGCGTCTAGGCTGCGTTGCAGATCTTTCTCCTCGGGCAAGCAGGAGCCGTTGGCCACGTGAGGTTATTTTGGACGTCCGGATCAGGAGAAATATGGCACCCCTTTTCAGACCGCAGCTCTCACTCCCGAAGCCGTGTCGGGAAGTGCTCTAACGATCAGTGCCCAGATGCATGTCGTCGTAGCGATTCTCCAACCTAGAAGGGCAGGATCATGAAGTGCGCAAACTTGCCTGACCGAAACTGTTACGAATGTCAGCCCCAGCAACCACCGGCATAGAAGACTATATCCTCCCTTGACATCCTGCACAAAAAACTGCCCCAAAAACACACATGACCAGGATTGCAAGCAGGCGTCGCCGCCAAGCTGATCTTCCAAGGACTTCCTCGCCGGCCGTGTGAGAATCAACAAGGAACAGGGAACCAACCACCAACCCCAACCGGCCCACAAAATCAGCATGAGCACGCACAAGGTACTGCAGATCTGGACTCGACCTGCAGGCAACTTCGCATGTAACGCTGACCCATTGTGCCACCAAGCTGCAGGATCGCCATGCAGCTCTCCTCACGCTCCTTGACGCGGGTGCGCATCTCTTGGGGCCCCAAGAAGCTCTGCAACGAAGGCATTCTGCTATGGTGATCTATGGAATCTATGGTGTGTATTTGCTGCCGCGGCGCCTTGGACTCTTTGGCAAGCAATGTCCTTCGCTGAGTTACCTCCTCACGCACCTGCACGCAGGAGGGTTTCGCAGGGCGGCACAGGGCTGCCACGCACATGAGCAACACCACCAGGCTTCTCTGAAATCTGTTCTGTTGCCGGTTGAACCAGCGTTCTATGCCAGCCAGTGCAATGGGGACAAAAGGTGGTTCACGTGCAGCAATGTCCGTTGGCTCCAAGAGCCAGATATGTGCCCAGGGATTGGTCAGTTTATGAGACAAGCTGCACTGCCTTGTACTATGCTGTACCTGAAGTTTTGAGCAGTTCCCTACGTCGGACCGCACTGTTCTGTAGAAGCTAGTGTGCTATTCCCGTCGTGCGATCTTTCAGCCAAAAGGAGTGCCTTCCCCAACTTAGGGACGTTGACAATCCCAAAGTTCTTCAAAAACGGTCCCGTTCGTGCCTCTGCCGACAGCTGCTCCAACTTCCCCTCGAAGCCACACAGCCATGCGTGGATTGTACTGATCGCGATTGCGATTTGGGGCTTTTCAGACTCTCCGACTTTCAGCTCCAAAACACTGGCAAGAGACCTTACACCCTTAGAGCCTCAGGTAGTGTTGAACACCCTGCATAGTGCTGTGGCTCTACGCGCTCTAGGATTCTAGTCGCGCACAGCTCATGGTCTGATGCGGAAGCTTCACACCCACAGCCTGAATACGCTGCTCCAGCTCCGAGAGGACGCCTTCCTGCGTCATGTTCCCAGCACAAGCTATAGGTGGGTGCCGTCCAGGTTGGAAAGCATGCAGAAAGAGCCTCTTAATCGTCGGATCGCTCCACCTGGTTAAACCACCTGGCACCCCGCACAATCTTGCTGAAGATGAACAAAGTTGGAGCAAGGAGGCAGAGCAGTCCTGGTGTTGGCGGGCTTCGGTCGAGATCCTTGTTCGCACGTGAGTCCAAAAACAGGCCGAACTGGACTGAGGCGCTTGAATTTGGGGAAGAAGAAGGTTCACAGGGCATCGCGATGAGCCTTGTGCAATTTTCTGGCTGTGTTTTAGTCCGGCACTTGACGGCAAAGCGACACGAAAAACACCATGAAAGAAGGCGCAGCCGGTGCTGGAGGTGAAGCCCAGAAACTCTTGGAACATGTTGATCATCTTGCTGTTCTCCTTGGTGGCCGCCACCAGTTGGAACTCACTGCTCACCGCAAGATCACCTAAGAGTCCGGAAAACAACATAGCTGCCACCAAGCTTCTTCCTGTCGACCGGCCGACTCGTTCTCCAGGGACCTGCCGGGTTGCCATTGTGATGCTAGAACGAGAAGAAGTCAGTGAGAGCCAGGCTGAGACTCTGTGCTGGCACTGGACATCTGCAGCCGGACTTCATACTCAAGGACTGTCAGTACGCTCAGGACCCAACGGCGCAACGAAGCACAAAAAAAAAAACACCGCAAATGCAGCTGTCTACAAGGATCTTAACTGCATGCCGCTGCACTTCTCCAGACGGTCCAGCCGACTTGACAGCGCTTGCCTGATGGGGCTTGGAAGCACAGCTTCTTTCATGCGAGAGCACCACAGAATTCTGAGCACGTCACACGGACAATCAAAATCGCCCTGTCGACTCTACGGTGCCCTATGGACTCAACGTCCACCACCTCAAGAACTCCGGAGAGCAAAGGCAAGTCCTTCTCAAGTTCTCACGGGACACAAAAGGCTCTCTCACGCCCCTTAAGTGTCTCTACCCGGTAGTACGATTGTTTTCAGACACTCGTGAAGACTTTGGGCAGCTCTCTTGGTCAAGCGGCATTTCCAGAGCTGTTGGGCCAGCGCAGCTGGACGGCTCGGATGGCCTTGCAGAGTCCCATTCCGGTGTGTGTAGAGTGCAGAGGCTGCCACCCTGGTGGCATGTGAGCAGGATGATCGCGCTCTCCAGCTTCCACGAGGCAGGAGAAGACGGAGAAGTACAGTAGAGTCGTAGAGGCAAACGTCAAGAACAAGCGACCCACTCATCATCTTCTGCTGCAAAACAGGGGTAAAGGGGATTAGGGTTTAGAGTCTAGGGATGTTTTGCCCAGCCCGATGCCTCTCCGACAGTTGTCGCCGGACCTCAGTCGTAAGGTGCATACTCGAACTCAGCACCCTCGCGATTCAGATCGGACCTCCTTCGTGCCACTGCAAGACTGAGGGGGGAGTTGGGGTAGAAATCCGATTTCCCTGGCTTGATACCCTAAACCCTAAACCCTAAACCCTACACCCTAAACCCTAAACCCTAAACCCTAAACCCGAAACCCTAAACCCTAAACCCTAAACCTTCGGAGGGGAAACCTCAGCAGATTTGCCATCTGGGAAGCCTCGGCTCGCACGAGGCCCTCTGTCAGGGACTCGGAGCTCGCATGCAGCTCCTGGGCTGCTTGGGGTTTAGGGTTTAGGGTTTAGGGTTTAGGGTTTAGGGTTTAGGGTTTAGGGTTTAGGGCCGTTTAGGGTTTAGGGCCGTTTAGGGTTTAGGGTTTAGGGTTTTGGGTTTAGGGGTTTAGGGGGTTTAGGGGGTTTAGGGGGTTTGGGGGGTTTAGGGGGTTTAGGGGGGTGTATGGGGGTTTAGGGGGTTTGGGGGGTTTAGGGGGTTTAGGGGGTTTAGGGGGTTTAGGAGGTTTAGGGGGGTTTAGGGGGTTTAGGGGGTTTAGGGGGTTTAGGGGGTTTAGGGCTTCAACTCTCGCACTCGCTGAGGCAGGTTCAGGGTTTGGGTAGGGTTTCGGGTTTTTGGGTTTTTAGAGCTACAACGGTCCAGGGTTCTTTTTACCATCCGCTTTAGGGTTTTAGGGTTTCGGGTGTAGGGCCTCACGGTTTTAGGGTTTCAGCTGTTTTTGCCACCCAAGGTTTGAGGCTTCTAGGTTGGGATGTCCCCCCTTATACTAACAGTCCTTCATAGGGATGAGAGTACCCGCTATTCTCATCCCGTTGAGGGCTTTTTGAACCTGGCAACTGCCTCATGCCAGATCAAAGTAAAACCTTATGGGGCACACACATCCCGACTGGCAATCCGAGGTGATTGGCAGGCTCCAGCCCAAAACACTGCACCGAAGGGTTTAGGGTTTAGGGTTTAGGGTTTACGGTTTAGGGTTTCTGCTGCATGATCAACCCTAGGGTTCTTGGTTTTAGCCCTCTGTTGCACACGCGAGCCGCGCATGGCCATCATAATCATCCCCTTACACACCCCGTACGAGTCAAGGGCGCTGGACTTACCTTGATGATGCATTGGGATGTTCCCCCTTTTCCCGATTATAATCCCAATTTAGGGTTTAGGGTTTAGGGTTTTGGGTTTAGGGGTTTGGGGTTTAGGGTTTAGGGTTTAAATCCCTATTTTTGGAGCCGTTCGTTTGAGGGGGAACATCCCACTTGATGCATCACTCAGCCATGCTCGACGCGTGGCGGCGGCAGGCTGCGCTGCTCCGCCCACCCGCAGTTGGTCCACCAACCTGCTGAAGGGGTTTAGGGTTTAGGGTTTCGGGGTTCGGGTTTAGGGTTTAGGGTTTAGGGTTTAGGGTTTAGGGTTTAGGGTTTAGGGTTTAGGGTTTAGGGCTGGACCGACCCACAACGGGGCAGGAAGAACACTAACACGAACCTCCTCTCCAGCTTAGGAAAAGACAACAAACAAAGACACGAATCACGCAACCTAAAGGCAAGGAGGCTCGCCCTTTTTGCATTCCTGATCATTCCTGCTTAGTTTTTGGCACCCACCGAATTAGCTGACACTCGGGAAGCACTGCATGGCCCTAAACGATAAATCGGGGCTTCGGCTCTCACGCTCGAGCAAGGCGGGCAAGGCGTCTGGTAAACCAGGGTTTGCGATTCTGTTTGCCACTCTAAGACTAGCCAGGATTTTTTCTGGTTTAGGCTTTCAGGGGCGGTGAGGGTTTAGGTCAGGTTCCCACTGACGAACCCAAGACAGTGGCCTGCTTTATGGGGTGCACACACTGTGACCCAGAAAACATTCCTGCAGCGCTTTCCGGGCAAAACAAGGGACTGGCTAAACCCAGAACCCCCCTAAGGCCCTCCCGTCTGATCGACGCTCCTCCTGACATCCAAACTTGACACTTCACATGGGTGGCAGGGCCGGCAATCGCCACTAGACGAAATCATAAGCCAGGGCGGAAAGCCAAATTTCACTCCTCTCTTTAACTCACGATCCAGTAACAGGAGCCCAAATATCGCGTAGAAGACGATCATTTCGAGATCCGGTAAGGGAGGTAAGCTCACAGTTTCACAAGCTCCAGTGCACCCCGGTTTGTCAGTATGTCCGGAGATGTCCGAAGGCAAAGGGTGCCGTAGGTGAGTAAGCTTTTTAAGGTTGGTATCGTCTAACTTGGCTGGCAGAACAACACTCGCAACAGAGATAGAGAGAGAGACACACACACAGACACGCGCGCGCGCGCGCGCTTACTTGTATCGCTTCGGACGAATCGATCCCGACCCCTCAGTCCGACCTGGATAAGTCAGAGCTGGCATTTCCGATCTCCATCTTCTGGAGCTCCATCTCTTGACGAAGGCTCTCTCCTTGCTTGAGCAAAGAGAAAAGCTCAAAAGATGCCTTCTTGCAGGCTCTAGCTTTGTCATCCGATGTCAGACTGAGGCCTAGCCAGCTGTGCTTCCAGAGGTTTGGTGCATCCCGGACCTTCGGTCCCGGATTTTTTGCAGAAGTGCCTGTTCAGCACTTTGCTTTGCATGTTCGGAGGGCGCACCGGGACTCACAAGACTGTGGCAACTGCACGCTTGAGACAGCATGCCCCTGTTCTAGACTCAAACATGTTTGGGGCATGATATGCGAAAAACAACAACATGCCGTTAGCACCGCAGCTTTTGCACGTTTGCATTGACTCAATGACGAAATAGCATCGTTGTCCCCCCAACCCCACTCCCAATGCAAGAAAACCTGCGGAACCAAAAAAAAAAACAGTGAAACGCTCAGGCAAACCGAGGCGGCATCAAGAACTACTCGATGAACATGAGACTGACGACATGGGCAACAAACCTTTTGTCTGAACTAGAATGCCTAACATACATTGCCCGACCGTGACTTGCACTCGCGCACATGATGTTGTTGCCAGGATACGCATGTGGCTGAACTCGCTGAGAACCTGCTGCGCCTGCTGCGATGCTGCGCCTGGCACCGCAGAAACGCTTTGGGAAGCACACTGGTCGTCAGCCACGAGAGACAAGAGAGGCAGCACCTTGCGATCTCTTACACGAAGCAATACCAAGCACTACAGACCTACATGACCCCATCCTGCAGGTAACCCCCCACTCCCCTCCCCCCCCCCCCACAACTGTAGCTGCCCTGAGGCTGGCGCCGCATTCCAGCCGCATTTCACGCTGAAGAGCCCCAAGTCTTGCCTGCCCGCAGCAGATGTTTTTGTGGCTGTGGCCGCGCCCTGCGTGACGCATGTACAGCCTTGAAGAATGCATGAGCAGTGGCGAAGCACACCTGGTACCCTGAAAGCACGCCGCCTCGAGATGACTTTCGACGGCTCGGCGAAGGGACTGAGGTGGGCTTTGTCTCACTTGCTGCGTGCTTTTAAGTTGACAAGCGGCTGCCGTATGCCTAGAGATGCCAGACAAGCAGTCAGCACCAACATTCGTAAGCAACCCTAACTACTCCAACTAACCACCCTTCTCTATGCTTGAATTGCAAAGCACCATCAAAATGCTTCCGCAACTCCTCGGGTTAAGCTCCCCAAGGACCGTTTTTGGACCCAGCCCTTCGCCCCCGCCCCCCCCCCCTCTGGCATCCTCAGCTTCCGAATCTCTCTCTGGAGGCCTGCCCTGACGAGCCTCTGAGCTGAAAAAAGGGCGACCGAGGCACGCCCTCTTCCTTGACAATGCCGTGCCACTTCTGCTCCAGCTTCGCATCTGCCTCCTCGCGTTGCCGCACGGCCTGCCAGGGGAGGCGGCGGATCCTAGCCGGTTGTAGCATTGCAGCACGCAGGTACAGGATGGAAATGACGAGTGGCCAGCGCCGAAGCTAGATGCCTCAAGCCCACAACGCATTCCACAGTGCTATGTGAGGATTCATCTTCATCCAACCTTTAAAAGCAAGCCAACCCAGGTACCATGCTACATCAATGAAGCAGCGCACACCATGGAATTGCAAGGCCTCCTCTCGCTTCTTCTTTTCTTCCTGTATATACCAGCAGACGGATTTGAAGTCTAACAGTCTAACGTGCTTCTTCTAGGAAGAGCTAGGA